AACCCCCGCCCTTCCTGCACGCAGGTATCCAACAGAAACCCCGACAGATAGCACCCAGGATTCCTCCCCTTATGTCCCCATCAACCCAACATCTCAACGCACTTCAACACCTCCCCTCTCTTCGCCTCATGATGAGCGAATTTTTAAATGCTTTTATTGCAACTGCCTCTGCCTCCCAAATAAAATTCTAGAATTGAGGCAGCTTGCACAAAACTTTTTATTACTGACAGAAACCTGGCTCACGGCGGACTTCACCGATGGCAAAGCTACCGTAGCAGGCTATACCCTTATTAGAAAAGACCACCCGCGGAAGAGCAGGTGGAGTTGTGATTTATTTTAAGAACAATCTTCCTCCTCCTATCTTCATAAACACAGATCATATCCCTCTCATAGATAGTCTGTGGATCTGTTTTCAGATCTCCAAGACAATCAACTTCCTGATATGCCTCAATCACTCTATTCTGCAGCCTCTGGATATGAATTCCTCTTTATGATCCATCCTTTTCTCACAGGATAAGGTTGAAAGGAGTATCCGGAGCATTAATCCATATTGCCATATGGGTCCTGATAATATCCACCCTAGGTTACTGGTGGAGTCAGCCGGTGTACTAGCTGCTCCGTACACCCTTCTCTTCCAACGCAGTATGGATGGGGGAACCTTTCCCACAAATTGGAAAGAAGCCGTTATTTGTCCCATATACAAAAATGGTGGTAGGCAATTCCCCGTTAGNGTTAGCTACCGTCCCATCTCCATAACCAGCATCCCCAGCAAAATTTTCGAGCGCCTAATAAAAGACGAATTCCTGAAGCATCTTAGAACTAACAACCTCATCTCTATCCAGCACGGTTTTCTACCTAGCAGGTTATGCATCACCAATATGCTGACTGTCATGGATAGCTTGACCAAAGCATACGATTCCGGCAACATCTCTCATGCCGTTTTTATTGACTTCGCGGAGGCTTTTGACAAGGTTCCCTACCTCCCTCTTTTCCACAAAATTGCGGCACACGGCGTCGTAGACCCCTTGCTTACTCTTATTCGCAGCTTCCTCTCAAATCGCTCATTTGCTGTTCGTGTTGGCAAATCTTCATCACAGCCCAGCCCACTTACGACCGTTGTTCCCCAAGGTTCTGTTCTAGGACCCATCCTCNTGACCTACCCGATGTAGTGTAATCAAGCATTACGCTGTACGCCGATGATGTCACCATCTGGGATACAGACGCCTCTCTTTTACAGGTCTCAATTGATGCTACCAAATGCTGGTCACTGGATTGGAATCTTCCAATCAACAATGACAAGTGTGTTGGGATGTCATTCAATGGTCACTCTTCTCACACTTTTACGATAAAAGGTTCCCACCTACTACCCCAAGTGGACCAATACAAAGTTCTTGGTTTCTGGTTTAACAACAATCTGTCTTTCTCTTATCATAACCATCTAGCCAGTTAGGCCACTTTTCGAGTCCTGAACCTCATCAAAAGATGTTTCCCCGTATTCTTAAGAACGACTTCCCCCTTATTTACGGAACGTACGTCCGCCCTCTCTTAGAATATAAAAGCCAAGTTGCACACTCCGGCCTCATCCGAGATCGTGACTGCCTCGAGCGCGTCCAGAGAGCCGCTACAAAATCCGTCCATGGATTCAGGGACCTCCCCTACCCAACGCGGCTCCAACAACTGGGCCTTTATCCGCTAGAAATCAGACGCATCCGAGGAGACCTATTTCTCCTCTACCATCTCTTCGACACGGGCACTGTCCAAACCTTTTTTGTCATTGCTGACTCAGCCTACCCGAGGCCATAGCAAAAGAATCTTCAAGCCCCGTCCGAGAACCACTCTACATACTTCATTTTTTACCTTCAGAGTGATATCCTTATGGAATGACCTTCCAGAAGACATAGTCAGCGCCCCAAGCAAGGCGGTCTTCAAACTTCGTCTTGACCGCCACTTAGGTTTATCCACTCTCCCCCAATAAAAGAAAAAAGCATTTTAAATTATGTAAGAGTTCGCAAGTCTTCATTTTATTTCTCGCCTCGAGCGGGGAACCCTACTAATCCTTTTTCAGTAGTCTCTGCTCTAGAAGTAATTCAAACCAAAAGAAAACACATACCTTTCAAGGATCCGGGACCATTGGGCGCCAACCTCGAACCCGAGAGTCACTTCAAGACTTTAAGACGCGGACTCACCCTAATTTCTCAAAATCCGCCGCAGTGGAGCCTTGTTCGTACCCGGCTCACCGGGACACAGGACCAGAAGAAACCTTGGAAACTAATAACATCCGGGATCATTGGGCCTAGCCTCGCACTCATGTAATAGTCTTGAAGTCTTGAAGTGACTCTCGGGTTCGAGGCTGGCGCTCAATGGTCCCGGATCCTTGATGGTTTCTTGTTTTCTGTTCTTGGAA